TTGTTGTTATTGTTATTATTGTTAGTGTCTTTTTAAACCCACAAACGTGAAAAATAAGAGATAATATTGTAAATGTTCTAAAATAAAATGGAGGAACTTTCTTTACATTCCCCCAAGTGTTAGTGATGATAAACTGCCACAGTAGCAGCTCTGAGTTCTGACTTGGTTCTCCAGAACCAACGACCCAACAGAACCCAGCAGAACCCAACAGTGCATGTCTAGAGTCTGTACCTAGTGCAGATATTAAGATTTTAAGAAGATGTTTCTACTGGACCAAGATGAAACTGTCGGTCGTTCATCATAAGACAAAGACGAGCTTCGACTTGTGTTTTCAGTTTCTGAAGAACCAACAAGAACCTACAACAGAGTCCAGCTGCTCCGAACCAAAGCTCTGAGGAACAAACGTCATTATTTCCAGTTTCTTGTGCTGCTCTGATAAACCGTGTGACGGAAACACTGAAGGTCTTGTTTCCATAAATGATCTTGAAAGCTTTTCTGTTCTGTCTGATGTCATCGTGAAGGTCTCTGATCGTTTTTATCTGAGGAACCACCAAACACAGGAAACACACAGCGGAAGTCATTCACAGCTGAATCAGGAGATGCTGTAGTCCAGGTGACGTGTGAAGACCATGTTATGATGTTCAAACATGAAATGGTGACACCGATCCATCAGAGCGACAACGAGATCACACATGGATGAGAAAGAACGTTTGTAGATCATCTTGGTGTCTGACACTCAGGAAACCAGAATCTAATGCGGTTCTGCTCGTCACCGTCTCTGTATGTTCAGGACTCAGCTGCTGGGTCTGAAGGCTGATTAGTCCCAAGAACTGACGGTGAAAACGAAGGAATCGTCAGACTTTAAACTTTTCAATGAAAGTTTCATCTGTTAAATGTTCCATCAGAAAAATGAATCATCTGATCAAAGTCATTCAGCTCCACGTCGTGTTGTGGAGACACAAGACCCGTTTTTCTCAGATGGACTCTTTAGCTGGACCCTGAATGTCCAGAGTCCCAAACTGCACAAGTGACCCAAGTGGACCTAATTAAGGAATAATCAATTAGTCACCAACTACTAAATGTTAAATTCCTTCCCACCACCTGTCAGAGGGAGTCCAAAGGCACGTTGGGTTCTGTGTTCGGGTTCTAAGGTCTTCACCGTTCTCTGTTCAGCGCCGTGAGAGGACACCTGCTGTGAACTGCGCTATATAAATACAACTGAATTGAATTAATTGTCAACTATTTTGATGACAGATAATTTGGTTTCTGTGGTTTCAGCTCCTTCACTGTGGATAGTTTCTGGTTTCTTTCCTCTGTGACAGTAAGATGAAGATCTCTGGACTAAACAAGACATGGAAGGAAATAAAAGTGCACACATTTTAGAGCAAACAGCTGATGGATTGATCAGGACAGGAAACATTAATTCAGTTATGTGACGTTCAGCTGGAGGTTTTTCTTGTACAACAGATGGAAACTCTTCTAGAGCTAGAGCTTCTAGAGCAGCTTCAGGTTCACTCAGCAGCAGAAACAGCTGATGTATTAGAAACCGTCACCAGTGAAGGGTTGGCTCCAGTCTTAGTGCCTCCACCTGAACCTCGACATGACGCAGCTGTCAGACCCGGTGAGAGGCTGTTGGGCGGTGTACTCACGGCTGTAGTATCGGACCAGCTCCTGCAGGGTTGGGAAGGTGTTGGACGGGGAGATGTAGTAGCCACCTTTATCCAGACAGCGGATCTTGTAGTGTTTCACCACATCTCCGTGTTCTGCTCCCTGGTCTCGGATCGACAGCGAGAACGAGCCTGAGCAGAGAAACACAATTTACGGCCTGCTGGACGCAGAATCACTGACGTTCTGACTGGTTCTGGTTCTGACAGACCAACCACCTTCACCTTTGCAGGTTTCACTCTCTCGGACCAGAAAAGCTCCGGGTTTGTTTCCAGGAGCCAACAGCAGTCGCTCGGTTTCTCTTCGGCTCAGATCTTTGAAAAACCACCTGCAGGAGAAACTTTCTTTAAACTTCTCAGACTGTGACTGACGACCAGGTGAGTTATCGTCTCTACTTTATTTCCATCTATGAACTGACGAGCAGGTGAGTTATCGTCCGTGTGAAGCTGTTCTTACTTCTCCACCTCCAGAGTATCTGCTCGGGCCACATAGTTGGACGGTATGAATCCTTCCTGGCCGCTCACCAGAGATTTGGCCAACCACCACTCTCCGTTCCTTCACAGCACAAACAGGGTTTTATTTCTGAGCAGGTTAAACCAGCGGTCGAACTGCCGCGGACCAGAACTGAACTCACTCCTGCAGAACTCTGAGCCGGTCTCCTTTCCTGAACGGCAGATCGCTGTCGTTGGTCGCCTTGAAGTCGTGTTGGGCCAAGAACACCACGTCTTCTGGACAAAAGCAGAGAACAGAAGAGGTGAAGAACCAGCAGACGTCTTGGTGTGAAACTACAGCATGAAGCACAAACTGTCGGATACAGAAACGGTTCCAGCTTTGGGCTCCTCGGTTCAACTGAGACGGTGGATGAACGTCAACCTGCTGCCTTCGTTCTAACATGTGGACGTTCACGTCAGCACTGAGCGTCTAATTCCTCCTCAGAAACAGCTACGTGGCTGATGAAGCTGATTCTGATTGTAATATATCAGGTTTTACTTCCCAACTAACCAGTTCAGCCGCAGAAGGTTTTCTTGTTCACCAAACCGTCAACCAATGAGGCAGCAGACGGAGGTAAAACACGTCCTTGTTCGGACTTGGGTTTAAATCTAAACATTTAAAGGAGCAGTTTTGAGATCTGAACTCTGACGGTTCTAGATGAAGGTTTTCAGTGTCGGCATGGTGGAGGTTCAGCACCGTGACCTGGTCTCCTGGAGGTCAACGCCCTCCGCTTAACCTGACATTAGATAAAAACAGCCCAACTAACGCTCTCTCATGTTGTTGGATCCAATCAAAGTCGTACTGAAACAAAAGCTTGGAGAACAAATTAAACAGTTTTAGAAGTAACTCAACTTTACGACTAAGTTAAAGTTTGTTCAACAGGATGTGTCGCTGAGCCAAAGCTTATTATCGTTACCGCTGCACAAAACCACATTTTAATCAGACGGTTTTATTGGTGCTTTCACGTCTCAGTGAGGGTTTTCTTTTTGCTATTGAAAAAAACTAATCCTAAAACAAGAAGCTGACAAAACAGCCAGCAGCTTTATACGTTTACAGATTATTTAACGCTGAACCTTCTTGTTCTTTCTACAGTTCTGAGGAAGCAGCTTCTGTTTTTAACGGTCGCTGACATTAAAACGACTTGCTGGTGTTATCTTATCCCCAGAAGAGAACAGAGGAAACTCAGCTCAGATTTTAATCACTAAACGCTGCAGTTTACTGCACAAACAGTCTGGTTGGTTTACAGCACGAGGTTTTAAGACTACCGTGGTCCGTGTAGGTGTTCCCGCTCGGAGCCTGAAAAACACAAGAGACAGTAAAACGTAAAGATTAAGGAAAATAAGACGGATCACATAAACACGTCTCATTGGTGTTTCTCTGCTCACTGTGTGGTTCGATGAGGCCGCAGAGCTGTCTTTCACTTTGTAGAAAGTTCTTTCCTGGATGTCTTTGTGACCACTGCATGTGCAGCCCATCCTGCTCCACACACACCTGCTGCAGGAGTTAATATATTAGATATACGCTGAAGCTTTACTGCAACGCTACAAGTCACAGCCGCACACAGGCTGAGCTTCTGACTTGTTACCTGACAAAGTGTTCTCAGGCTCCCGTCCTGCTGCACAGTTCAGGCTCTGCCTTCATCCCCGGAGCTGAAAAATCAATGAGAAATGAACTGTGTTCAGGGCGTCTTCGGTTTTCTGTCTCAGCAAGAAGCCAGAAGCCAAGTGACTGATGGGAGGAAGTGGAGAACATGTTTACAGCCTCATACGGCAGCATTTGCATGAACAGTTTATGATTCTGTTACAAATAAAGAGCTAAAAATAACTGAAGCTTGCTCTGAACTCATCGCTGCTGCTTCTTTAGTTTCAATGTTTGAGATGACGTTTGTCTGGAAACTTTTAAATTCTGACATTTTTACCATCTTTGAATATTTGGCTGCAGGAGAAGTTAAACGGTTGAAGTCCAACCAGCTAATTGGACTTTATTCTGTCGCCTCGTGTTAGTTTTCTTACGTTCAATGATCTTTGCAGGCAGTGAATACAACGTGTGGGACAGAAATGTTGAAAGACTCACCTTTAAAATAACTTTTATCTGTTTTATGTAAAAGTGTGGCGGTAAAATCCTAACCGGGAGTCAGAAACGGATTTTGAAACAACTTATAGTTTCATCGTCTGGTTTATCAGACAAACGGAGAATTTTACTGAAAGACAGAAAAGAAAATGTGTGTGTGTGTGTTTAAATGAATATCAAAAATATTTTTATAATATCAAAGAATGTAAAGAAAGTATTTTAAGTACATTTGAAGATCTAAATTATTATCAAAAATATTTTAAAAGTCAAAAAAGATTAAACCCAGTTGTGGTTTAATCTTGAAATGTTTTCATATTTTTCATGTTTTTGATTTGTACTTATATTTACATTAAAACTTACATTAAAATTAAGTATATTTAATTTGTATTTTACAGTTCATTCCATTTTGTCAAATCTGCATCTTAAAAAGGAGAAAGTCTCAGAACACGGAAATCGGTCCTTGCATAGAGACGGCTGTGAATCCGGTTTAGTGAAGTTTTATTTGCATTACTATCATAACAAAAGACATAAAGTGAAACAGAAGCCTGTCGATGTTTAATTAACACGTCTTTACATCGTTCTGTCTCTCAGAGCAGGTCTGTGAAACAAAAGCATAACACATAATAAAATCCGCTCACCGCCGTAACGTCTGTGATGTCTGCAGGTTCTGATAAACTCCTCCACCGTGTCCTCAGGAGGTCTCAGACGTGAATCAGCTCTGTGACAACTCGTCTGTTTCTGCCGCTGCGTTGGAAAGTTTAATGTGTGGCTGGAGACCACGACGCCCCCCGAGGGCTGCGAGCTCACACGAGGTATTTAATCTTCTGGAAATCTCTGCAGCAGAAACACACCAGTTACCCTCAGCTAAAAATACTCCATTACAGTCTGAAAGTAGTGAAGGCCCACTGACTGATGTATGTTTTATGCACATACAGACTAGTTTTTGGTCTTTTCAGCATATTTCTGTACAGTTTTAGACGCTCTATTTTTATAAGAGTCCCTGTCCCAGCCAACAGACATCTGAGCTGAGAATTCATGAAACCGATTATCCAGCAGCATAAAAACAAATGTCCAGTACGATCAGAGGTACCAAAGACATGTAAAGTAGAAGTAACTAACTTGAGAGAAAGTACTTAGTTACTTTGCACCACTGGCTACCTTCAGAACTTTAACGAGTTGAATAATGAACACAGTTCGACTTTAGTCTGAAGACTCACATGAACGAAGCTGCAGCGATTCGCTGTCTGACTATTAAATCGGTCTCCAACTATTTCAACGAGGATTAGTCATTTTTTAATAAAATCATCTAAACTCTGTGACTTCAGCTCCGTAAATTTGAATCTATTCTGGTTTCTTTCCTCTGTGACAGTAAACTGAAGGTCTCTGGAGCATCTTAGACATGTTTTGAAGTTAAAGGTTGTCTTCAGATTTAAAGTCAGACTTGTTGACCTGTTGGCTGCTTCATGTCCTCTGATGTCGGCTTAGAAGAGCTTGTGTGTGTCTGTGTGTGTCTGTGTGTGTCTGTGTGTGTCCGTTGTGTGACTGCAGATCGTTTCTGAGCTGGTTCACACTCTGAACAGCTTCACCACAGCTTCTTACATCTCAGTAGCAACAGCATTTTCCTAACAGCTGCTGTGACTCGCTTTACTTTCCAGTTGTTACTGTTTGTCTGATTCTGTGCAGGGTTTTGTGTGTTTGTGCGTTGAATTGTGCTGCACAGATGCGGTGACTGGGTTGTGTTGAGCTGTGTGTTCACAGTGTAGTTTCCATGACACGCTGTCAGTTCCTCTGGTGGTCGGCTGTAAACCGCTGTTTGTCTCTGCAGCCAACCACCAAACATGTTCTATCTGAGGACCCTGTCCGGCAGAAACACTGAGCTCAGGAACTGAGGAACACTCAGCAGAACCTGCAGAAGTTCTCCTCAATGTGTAGAACGTTTGTCCTCAGATACACATGAAAGAAGCAGGAAAGACAGTGATGTTCACACGTACACACAACATGCCACCTCAGCACATCAGAGACACTGAAATGTCACGCAAAGCAGTCAGAATGTGATGAGAAGCAGCGAAATGTGACACGAACCAAACTCAAAAACACATAAAGCCAAAAACTAAAACTACAAAAAACGTAAAACAATACGAATGTGATGAAAAATGTGAGGTGAAGCTACAAAAAACAAAAAAACAAAACTTAAAATGATCAAACTGTGTCATGACAAACTAAATGTGGAAAGTTAAGCCCACCGGGCTGCTGGAATAACTGCAGCGTCTCCGTTTGGCCACCAGAGGGAGCCACCAGCCTGATGAACCTGTCTCCATGACTCTCAGACCTCTGACCTTCTGGACTTGAGCTTCTCTGGGTTATTTGCAGCCATGCAGATGCAGGATAAGATAAGACAGTACGGTATTTATTTATGTATTCATGTGCGTCCAGATGCAGAGTGAAGCTGTTGTGTAGTTAATCCATCAGAGACCAACAATGCAGCACAAACAGCTGAGCAGCTCCTTCCTGCTCCGTCCCAGTCTGCACCACAGACACACACATGTTCTCAGGTCCTGACCCGGCTGGTAGAACATGAGGGCGAATGAAAGAACCCTCTGAACAGAAGAACCTGAGAACAGGACAATAAATCTGACTGTTTGTTTCCTGTGGGACCATTTATCCAGCGCACACAGCAGTGTGTACACAACAATGCACAGCGAGACCACCTGTACTGTACACACACTGACACACACAGCAGCAGGTGCTCAGTGTCACCGCTTGTGTTACTGTGTGTTACTGTGTGCTACTGTGTGTGTTACTGT